GTGTCTGTCATCAGATAGGAATTTGGAATTGACTGCTGAGAGTGTTGCCAAGAATGAGATGCATATTTGATAAGAAGAATAAAATGGAAGGCAAGGGAGTGGAAGAAAAATGTGTTGGTGCAAACAACTCTGGTCAGGTAGAACTGAATGCCACAGAAAAGAAACCCTCACAATGGCCACATGTTATTGAGGTGGAACTGTATCCTGGTTGTGAGAAACACACAAATCGTCATTTACTAAGAGACGAATTGAAATAAAGACTCTTGGCAGTTGGACTGATGAATCCACTTATGATCCGTTGATGATATTGAGGCGTCAATTTCCTGTGGATCAGACACATCCCCAAGTCAAAGGCTGATTCCGTTAATGTTCTATGAGCAAAAAATACAAGTGTTTCTCGTAAGTTTTTAAGGTTGTTTGATGAGGTTGAGGGCAACAATCCTTATAAACTTCATCTTTTTTATACAGTGAAATCTGTCTGCTCGAGGATTTGGGCTTCAAAGGTAAACCACAAAAGTCTTTTCGTTTTGTTGATACAATTTTTTTCTGTGTTTGGTATGTTCTAAATTCACTTATCTTGCTGCTGAACTGGCTCCGCTTTAATAAGGAAATAAGATAAGCTATGAGACAAGATTTTCCTTCTACATTCCTTTTACCCTATGTAATAGGGTATAGCTATTGCTCTGGTTTTCCATATCTGCATCAGTATTTGGACTGTAAATGCTATACTTTAGTTGGTTTAAAGAAAGAAGCTCGACTGCCTAGAAATTCGTCTATTGAAAGTTAGGCTAGAATTTTCACGACACAATAAATCTAAGTGACAGGAATTGAAAAATCTCGGGCTGCAACTTTAGTGTTTGTTGATGTTCTTTGCTTACTAATTAATTCATGTGCTTTAGTAAAAAGTCAATGTTAGCTTGATTACTTTTGATAATTTGACAAGTTGGCGGGCCTTATATATTATTGCATACAGAAACATGGCAATTGATAAGAGGTGGATGCATCTTCAAGACAGGCGGCTGCCTGAATACGAAAAGGTGGTAGATGAGTTTTTCTAGATATGGAATTTGCTATGAACGGGAATGCAGATAAGATTTTCTGTCTAAATTGCATGACTAAGGTTTTATTGGAGTGTCATCAGGTGGGAAAGAGATGTTGGCTGCTGAGGGTGTTGCCAAGAATGAGATGCACATTGATGATAAGAAGCAGGGGTTGGAAGACATGGGAATTGATAAGGGTGTTGCCAGAGGGATGTCTAGAATGTGGTGAGTCGAGAAGGAAACCTGGCAAAGAAAGGGAAGATGTTTGTAATTGCCAAGGGTTTAGAACTATGTTGGAGTTAGGGTCTGCTTGCAATATTCCTCAAGACTGTGTGTTAATTACATGTCTTCTACTTGTGGTTATTTAGTTTCTTCTATTTAGTGGTTATTTGGTTTTTCATGTTGGTCATATTTTAGCAGTTAAAGCAAATATAAGAGACAACCCACAAACTTAGTAATGTGACAATCCTAAATAGTACTATCTATTTTCTTTTAATTTTATCTGTTTATTTTTTAACATTATCTTTTATAAGATTATGAAACCCGTTATTTTTATTAATAAAATTGAATGGTTATCTTCCTCCTTTATTTTAGGACTCAACAATCTTTTTAAGTCTCTCAAAGTTGGTGGAAATCCTTTTGAGATGAAGCAATCAAACCCGACAATCGCAGAGTTAAAGCAGCATAACAAAGAAAGTATGAAAAATTATAAAGCTTTATCTTGTATTCATTCTGTTGTTTCCGACTTGATTTTTACTCATATAATAGATTGTGAGCATGACAAAGAAGCATGAGACAAGTTGAAGGTTGAGTTTCATGATAGTGATAGGACTTATTAAATATAAGTTCTAAATCTACTAAAAGAGTTCGAAATATTAAAGATGAAGGATAAGGAAAGTGTAAAAGACTACTCAAAGAAGATTTTGAAAGTAGTCAATCAGTTGAGATTACTTAAAGAAAAATTTACCAAAGAAAAGAATAGTTTGCAAATTCCTTGTAAACCTATAGAAGAAATTTGAGGTAGAAATATCTTTTTCGTGGACTTGAAAGATATGTCCACAGTGACCGTGAAAAAGCTCATAAATGCTCTTCAAGCTCAAGAGCAAAGATGAGCTTTGAGGTAGGTAGATCATGTAGAAAATGCTTTACTAGCACATGCAAGGAAGAAGAAAAATGGTGAAAAGAAACAGGGTAAGCAAAAGGCTCAGTACCTTCTATGTTCTTATAGTAAAAAATACTATCATAATGAGCATTTTGGCTGGTACAGACCAAATATTTCATGCAAGTCTTGTAACCAACTCGGTAACATGGAGAAAGTCTGCCAAAACAAAGTTGATTTAAGAGAGAATAAGCTGTAGTAGCCGAGGAGGAGGTGTTATTCAGGGTCCCGAGAGGTCAATAAGCTCTAGAGCATTGGAAGATATGAGTGTCCTTGCCTCCTTTGACCAAGGCAATGATGGAATTACTTATCCATGAGAGACTTACAAAGATAAGCATGCGAGTGATTCAGGAACATATGACTAAAGGATAGATTTGAATTCTAATCCAAATTAGGAGTATTGAAAGTTGACTCAAAGGAGGTGTATTGGACTTAGGCTCTGCTTGTGATACTCTATGAAAAGTTAGTTTTCAATTTGAAGCAGTATGATGTATGTTAAGTACATGTAGCTATTTAGTTTCTTTTATTTGATAGTTATTTGGTTGTTTATGATGATCATGTTTTGGCCGTTAAAGCAAATATGAGGGACAACTCACAAACTTAATAGTGTAGCAATCTCAAGTAATGCTATCTATTTTTTTTTTTAATTTTATCTGTTTGTTTTTTAACTTAATAGTGTAGCAATTTCAAACAATGCTATCTATTTTCTTTTAATTTTATCTATTTGTTTTTTAACATTATATTTTGTAAGGTTATAAGAGCCGTTATCCTTATCAATGAAACTGAGTGATCATCTTCCTCTTTTATTTTAACACTCAACAATCTCTTAATTCTTTCAAAATTCTAACAAACTAGAACTTGATCTGGTTGGAGTTTGACAGATTGGATATGTTGTTATCTCTAAACCTGATCTGATCTGAATAAAGAAAGGTGATTGAACCGACTTATCCTAGACTTTCTGCCTCACTCCTGCCTCTATACCATGAATTGGTGCAAATAGGAAAATGGAAGCTTAACCCATCATATTATTCTTATTGGATGAATGAATAGTTCACATCCTCAGTCACAGAAGCTCCAAAGCAGAATATTTGCTACATATAGCTCTCATTACAATTACGGAAGAGCAAACAGGCGTGGGTTTATTGCCTCCCAAAGCAAAATGTTAAGATGGTAGAAATATCCCCGCTAGTCAGAAAGCTCAATGTTGCTCCGGGGAAAGGCTTTAAGTAATCCTCATAATCTAGTGCATCAAACATGGCCAAAAAGCAATAGTACCATCATCACTGCAAGCTATAGCTTTCACTTCATACCCCAAACTTTGCACATCAGCCGCAGACCAATGGCACAGGTAAAAATAGAAAATTTAACGGTTAAAGAAATCTAGCAAAAATAATTTTAGGAGCTAGCAGCCTTTGCTAATGCATCTCACTGTACAGAGTGAGCACCATAATGAGTAGCACGTTTAGATGAAAAGGAGCCTTAATATAATTAGAGCTTCAAAGTAAGATCGGGCGAAGATGAATCTGTTCTTGGTGGTGATGCCATTGCTACAAAACCCGTATTTGAACTTTGAGTTGAATTTGGAGCAAACTCCAAAGCCGGGTTACCACTAACTCCTTCATTCACCTGTCTAAAACTACCTGGCCAAAACAAGTCAACATCATCATCTTCCATGAACATTGGCGTTCCAAAATACCCTTGATCAAACCTTGCTCCAGCTCTTGTATCAATAGGCCTCTGTGATGAAATGATTCCTTGGTGCATGGCAGAATGAGCTTTGATCCCAAGGGACCGCAATGTAGAACCGTGAAGGGGGAGAGATGCCAAGCTTGTACACCTGTCAGAGAATATCCCCATCCGCATAGCACGCTTTGCCATTGTCCTCTCCCTCTTATGAGCATTCTGGTGTCCACCCAGTGCCTGTGAACTATAGAATTTGCGCCTGCAATAATTACAAGAGAAAACCCTTGGGATTGTGGCTGACAAACCATGGCTTGCTATCTCACTACTAGTGTCACCGGTGCCCTTCATCTCAGCATCAGTGGCACTGAAATGAAGAGTCAGGTCAAGGGAAACAGACCCTGTTTCTGGTTGAGCCTTTATGAGATTTGTGAGGCATGATGTAGTGGTTGTGCTATCCTTTGAGGCATCGGGGGTCGCTTCTTGTGCAGATATGTTGGAAGCCACTTGGCTGCTTGCTTCTGAATCATTTTCAGATTCTAACCCAGGGTTTGGTGGTGTCATGCTCAAGTAAAGGCAGCAATGCCTGGTGCTTGTTGCTTTTGATAGCCGGTATGAATGCAAATAGCGCTAGTTTGCTATCTCTTCAACACCTGCATGTAGGAAAAAAATGGACTATTTGCTAAAAGTTACAAGTGAGAAAGAAAAATGCAAAGAGTGGCAGGTCTATTACAGTCTCTCATGCTTGGCAAACTGACAAGTAAGCCATCACATTTATTGTAAGCATGCCAACTTCTATTTGATTCCTTAAGAAAAAACCAACCCTAAGAATATAGACAACATTGTTTGACAAAATTATGTAACAATCTCAACATACACATGCAAGAACACAAATACCATTCGATCATTCTGGAGAGGCATACACATTTTGAATCAGTACAAAATCAAAACAATAGCTGGATGTAATAGGCATGTCCAACTTCTTACTAAGATGGTCTAGCTCAGGGTGAATTGTGGAAACACTGTACGTGAAGCAAAATGAATACACCTATCCACTAACAGATTAAGGGGCAACAAAGAAAATTCATGGTCAGACATATTTTATGTCCTTTAACCCTTGGGCCTTCTGTTCAAGATTTCAGGTTTTACTGTTTCTTCCAAATCAGGACACTACAGATTGAAATTCTACTTTCTTTCGTACAAGCTTGTCCATGTACACCACTGGAAAACAAGCTCCCAAACCACACAACTTGACAATGATACGAAAATTCTCCACCACAAAAATATTCTAAACTTTCTTTAAACTTTTGACACCCCTTATAAATATTTTAGTAAATATTTCCACAAATAAAAAAATCTTTGTTTCTCTTGAAAACATATATCTAAAGTATGGAGCAAGTTGTCTGATATTTGGCAACACTTGCATGCATGGGAAATAAGGAGTAACAAACTTGTTATTTGACTTCAAAATTAATCTAATTCTTAATCTATGATTCTATTCTTACTCCTTCCTAAAGTTACAATTTTCCAGCTTCATAAGCAATATATACAACCAATTAACAGAGAGAAACGATTTCGTTTCGCCAAAGAAGATGCTCTGCCTTAAATCGGTTTGGGGAAAACATGGTCTGATGACAATTATTAAGGCATAAAAAATTTTATTTTTAAGCATAACAATTAATACTCTCTAGTTTTTTTCTCCTAGCGGTAGAATAGGGGGACATCAGTTGTTCATGATAGAGGGGGCTACATGTCAGGTTTCTAGCGTAGTACGTTCATGTGATCAGATTGTTTTCCTTTTTTTTTTTCATGGGTTACTGTACACAAGGACACATTGCCATGGCGCATGCAACCCAAGACATATTCCGAGGTAAAAAGCACTGATAAAGCCTCAAAAAAAGGTGAGGACAGGCTTTATTGCATATGTACAAGAGATATCAGAAGAATTCAAGAGATTAAAGCCAGGTTGAGGCAAGAACAAAGCAAATAAATGAGCCTGAAATGTGTGTTAGAGACTTGAAACTAGCAACTCTAAACCAACAAGATGTGCCGTTGCAGGTGGCCATGAAACATGCCAGAGTTGAGGTATTTATTGCCCCGAAAATTACACATGCTTTCCCCTTCCTATGGTTGGTCACATGTAAAAATTGATAATAAAGAAGAAAATAGCATCGTACACTTCCTTGGAGCATTACACGAATGCAACAAGATGCTAGTTGATATCTACAAGTTATCAATATAGAAAAAAGAGAAACTGTTTCAGCAGAGGAATTAAATTGGAGAGACGCAAACACAGTGCAAACACTATGGAGATTTAAGGAAGAAACAAAATTTACATTCTTGAGTCCATTTCCTTCTCAAGAATGATGTTGAATGAAGTATCTTGCGCTAGGCATTTGGTTGAACTAAGTAAAGTGAGTCACATACAAAATTAACCAAGTGATTCAGTGCCTTAACTCTTCACCTTTCACTTTTAGCTATCCCCACAATACTTAAACAATTTATAAGTAGCATCCTCCACCGGATTCTAGATATACCCTAGCTAATTTTAGAACATATTTGACAACTAATCAGTAAAAGAGATTAATGGAAAAAGCAGGAGAGAATTGGATACAAGTAAGAAGCTTCACTGAAGTAATTCAAAGCAATAGGTGATTCTTATCCATATATGCTTTATTCATGGATTTAAACTGACATGCATGAAGAATATACAGAATTGCCTTGGAAAAAGTGGTTTATTTTTCTCCACTTCTCTTTTTCCAATTAGCTACTTCTTCATGTTGCTCTTCCCCACCAGAGAATTTCCCTTCTTTTAAATTCAACCTCAGGTTTTTTCTGTCCCATACTCCTCTCTATCAGAACAGTGGAATCAAAAAACCATTTTTACAACTTTTTTTGTTTTGTTTTTCCTATCTTTTATGTTCAGAAAAAAGAATAGAATTGAGTTCAGAATGTAAAACAAATGAAAAAGAATTGTGGTCAGAATAGGAGACTATCTAATTTTTCACCAAAAGCATAATTATCAGCTGCAACAATTGAGATGGAAAATGCATCTGAATTCACTAAAAAGGAACAAAAAAAATCATAAAAAGAAAGCCCAGATGAGCTTTCAGGTAAAATGAATTAGACAAAATCCACAGCTGAAAACAAAGAGTAAATTAAAAAAAAAAAAAAACCTTCCAACAACATTAAAATAAACAGTGCAAAAAGCTGAAGCTTAAACTAGTAACACAAAGCAAAAGCTAACCCAAACAAAAAATATAAAGAAAAAAGAAAAATCAAATCCATAGCCTATGAGATAGTTGGTGAAAAAGATTCTTACTTGGTATATCTTTGAAGCAGCAAAGTAAGGTTGAGTACTATGCTACTTTGTGAGCTATGGAAGCTAGGAGATGAGAAGCATCAAAAGACAAGACAGAGCACTGGCTTATGGATGGTATTTTTTTTTTTTTGTTTTTACCACAAATGGTACAGTTATTGTTGAAGCTGAAAAGTTAATTAATGGAGACAAGATTGCCGAGAGAGAGAGAGAAAAAGAAGTATACAACTGTGGGAAAGCAGAGGTTTGGAGAGATGGGGATGATGGAGCAAAGTCAGAGAAGTAAGAACCAGAAAAGCAAAAAAGAAAGGAAGAAAGTAGATAATACACAAACCACTGCTTGTTGAATTTTGGGCTCTTCCAGTGTTTCAAGAGCTACAAATAAATGAGTAGAGAGAGAGAGAGAGAACACACAAGGAGACATGGAAAAGCAAAGGGTACTTACTGTAAGTCCCAGAAAAAGATGCTATAAAATGTTTGTGTCTCATTGCTCATTCTCTCTTTCTTTTTCTTTGCTTTCTTTCTATTTCCTACTTTAACAAGTTGCTTGTGGTCAGATTCTTTTTTCCAATATTACCCAACTACATTTGTCAGATACACTCCCATGCTCACTTATGGAATTTGCATGGACATGACCCTATTATCCCATTCTAGCCCATACATTTCCCCTTTATATTTTTCCATTTTTTTTTCACTTTTTTATATAAAAAACTTTACTAATATAATTTTTTTTATTATCGTCATCAAATTTATACTGTATACATTACCAATTTGCATACAATAACTTACCACATGATCAAAATGTAAATTTTGTTATAATATAATGAGATGTATATTAATTGTATATAAAATTATATACAAACAATAGACACTCCAATTTTGACGAAATAAAATTTTAACTGAAATTGGCACAATCGCTTAAGAGAAACTAATGAAACTAAAATTTGGAAAAGAGACATGGCAATCCAACCTTAACTGACCATCATGGTATCTTGAGCTTAAGATTTTACTTAAAAAATTTATTCAAATAGATGATCAATCACATTTAAATAAAAAAATGGTAATATTTCAAGTTAAGCAATCGGGTTGTTAGACCTGCATGTTATGATATTGATGTAATACATTAAGTATAAAAAATTTTTATTTCAATCATGAAAAAACAAAAGTACAATTCACATGCATTTTCGTCTCACTAATTTTATTTTATTTTTTTCTCAAAATTTTGTATATCAAAATCATTAGCTAAAAATGATTATATGCATTGATATAAAGAATATGAATTGAAAAGAGTGATGAAAAGAGGCAAGGAGATTGAGTTGTAAACAACATTATCCTTTGTGTTGTGGGACGGGCTTATCATTAGTCAGCATCAATCTACAAGGTAATGTAGCTATTGCTTCTTTTGATGTTTGCTATTCAGCAGTGGAGGGGACAAGGACCATAAGCAGAGCAAACTGGCAAAACAAGTGGCCAATGTGCCCTTTTTTTTTTTTCTTTTTTTGTACAAAATTTGTTTGAATAAATATTTAAAGGACAATATTCAATGAGTGGTATGGCAAATAGTGGCTTCTAATAGTCAGAATATTTTGTGGGACAGTTATTACTTTGATCACTTTCTTTGGAATAATTGCATTTATAAGTAATCCTTTCCTTATAATATTATTTTAATACAAATATATATATAAAGCATCGACCTAATGTCAAAGATCATGTATCAATAAAAGATGGAATGAATCTTGAATATATAAACATTTATCTTTTATCATCTATTAGGCATATCTTTTGAGTTGAAATATGGACTCGTGATTTGTAAACTTACTTAAGTTTTATTTTTAGACCTTAAAGTTGCACGATATTGGAGTTAAATTTTAACCTATAATAAGTGGTATCAAAACAAACTTAGATCTTCACTTATGTAAGGTTCCCATGAGAGATATAAGAATCGATATAGACCTAGACTAGTATAAGAATCCCTCTTCTCTTTGAGTAAAGAGCCAATGCAACGAGGATCCATGATTTATAAATCTACCTAAACTCTATTTTCAAAATTTAAAGTCGTATGAGCCTAAGGTTAAGGTCCAACTCGTGACACTCCCCTTTCATTATAAAGTAAAAAAATTAAACAAATTTTAATAAATTTAAAAGTATAATTATTTAAATAATATAAATAAGACACGTACATATATTCTCGACATGATTTAACACACTACTATTATTCTTATTTATTTTTTTCAAATATTGAACCATTTAATATAACCCTTAAAATTAAGTAATATTTCTATGTTACTTGAGAAAGTTAATTAACTCAAGAGCATCCCCTAGACTCACAATTAAATTCCTCTTTTTCTAATTTGATGCAAAAATAATATAGCACTTTTGAATTGTAACTCATAATAATAATAATATATTAAACAGTAATTTCATATTAATATGTGTAATACTCCATCTCTTATTGAATATGAATGTCATTATTAAAATTTATATCAATACGTAAGTTTATTATGATTACTAATTTAAATTTAAATTTTAAAAAATTATATAATTTAGAACTAATAGTGATTGGACCCAAATTGTTTGATGATCATTAAAGTTGTCAGCTGAAGTAATCCCAATTCAATTAACCTCTCCCTCTTGTCCATGTACTTGCCGTTGTACTTGCAGTTAAAAAATAGTAAAGGACAAAAACTTTTATCATGTCAAATTATTTACTCATTTTCATACTATTTGTTTTGTCTTTTTTTTATTTAATTTTTATTTTTTGAGAATATCTAGAAATGAAATCTCATTTTCATTTTTTAACCTCAATATTTTTATTAATTTTATATACAAAACTTATTTTTCATGATTTTTTTAATTTTACCTTTAGTCATTAAAAAATTAATTAAATATCAACAAAAAAAATCAATATTGTAATAAGATTTTAGTACTTAAAAAAGTCTTCATGACTAATACTGATTAATATAAATTAACATATTCTTTTTAAGGTATATCATAAAAATTTTTCGAACTTAATATAAATCCATATCTTTTCTGCCATATAGTTATTTAACTACAAATGATAGCTTTATAAGTTAATACTATTTAATATGTAATTTTCCATTAAATAAACTGACAAAATTGAAATATTATTCCTTTATACATAAATAAGGACAATAAACAACTGGGCCAAGAACCAAGATTGCCGAAACCAAACTTTTGATGACTGCGGCTGTACTTAAAAAGTCTTAACCAAAGGCATCCACAAATAGTTGAGCTGGGCTCAAGCTGACCTCAACGCCGACCATACGTCGCTAGTTGTGCTCTCGAGCACCAAAATTCATAAATTAATTAATATAAATTTTGTTAAATTGTTCTTTTATAATTTTTAAAAAATGTCATTTTATTTTTTAATATATTTTTAATTTAAATTCTCAATAATCACACTTCAACACTTTTTCATCAATATCAAAGGTTATTATTTTTTTAATAATTACATTTTCAATACGTAAATTAAATGAAAACAAAATTTTACTATAATGAAAATATGATATTATTTTTTTATTTTTACAAGTAATTATCCTAATAAGCAGACAGTAGTATTCCCAAACTTCGATCTATACAAATCCGTACAATTACTTTAGTTGTTTCAAAAAACATTTGTTCATAGAACAACTGAAAAGGATTAAAACCCGTACAAATTTAAACGTGTAAATGAATAAATATTCTTAAAAAAATAAATCATGTTTATTAAATTAAGATTTAATTTAAGATAGATGTTAAATTCTTTTACGTATATACTCGATCTGATCGGATTATATATTTTTTTTTGGGTCCCATTTAGTACGGTCGTAAAATTAAATACAGGATCCGACAAGTAGCGAGTGCGAAGTGAGACGTGTCTTCCATTAAGACATTAATTAAATGGTCCCCCGTCTCAAATCTTAAAAGTCGAAGACCAAAATCACCTGACCCTTCCTGTCTCGGGACGTTACATTGGAGACAAAGTTGTAGCTTGTACCAAATCCAATCAGATCCATTCAAAATGCACTCTTTTGTTTCTTTTATTGTATTTATTATATATTTTTTTATTTGAATAAGAAACTAGTTGATTGAATGTGAATTGAAATAGCCTACCAATTACTACTCTTTGAAATCTTTAACTATACCTACTGGCTTTCTTACTTTCTTTATAACACAAACACGTGGGAAGTGAACAGGTTTGTTTTCCTCATGCATGTGATTCGAATTCTGTAAAAATGAGACAATTTTTATTTTTAATTATGATATTTTATCTATATTATATATGAATAGATTATTAAAATTTATATAAAGTTTAAATCAATTCATGCAAGTAATTTGAGTTTAAATTTTTTAGAATTTTTTTGACATTAAATTTTTTTAAAGTTATATAATTTAATTTTAAAAAATTATTATGTTAACGATATTTATACTCGAATGATTATAATTGGTATCAAAATACATATCAGTCCGATGAACTTTCACACTGCACTAGTAAAATTTTTGCCTATGAAGTAAGTCTTGACGAAAATATCAAAGATTTGAGTTGGTAAGATTATAATATTCAATTCTAAATTAGATATGGATGTAATTATAATGATTTATTTTTTTTTAGAAAAAAATTATTATTATTATATAAAAATTTAAAAATCAATAATTACTAGTAATTTAATCTTAAATTTTTAAAAATCACATGGTTTAAGTTTATAATATTGCTGAAACAATAGTGCATGGACTCAAATCAATACATTATCTCATAAGTTCTCCTAAAAATTTAAATAAAAAAACTTGTATTCAAAAATTTATCAAATTTTAATTACAGAATTATCTCGTTGAGAAGCTTAATTCCTTTGTAATGTGGAATGAATATGAAATTGTTTATGAACTATTCAAAATAGCTCAAAATGTATTTTTATATAAAACCAAGGGAGCGAATCACTATTCTAACAATCAACGTGTGAGAGAGAATGAAGACTAATGAAATTTTAACATGATTGAAATTAATATAAAGACACCAGATAAACATGGTACAAACTCAATTAATTAAAATTTGTTATAGAACATGTTGACAACTCTAGTATTACAAGCTAGTAATTTCGTTAGAACACCATAATTCCAGATCATCTAGTCTTGTTAAAGAAATCTCCCACTCTATTAGACGTCTGGAAAGCACTATAACATATAATAATAATAATAATATATATAAAAGTCTAAAATGCTGCTTAAATTTGAGGCGGAGATATAGTGCTCCATTTCCGCTGAAAAGCATCATTGTTGCGCATGATCGTTGGCTTATGTTTTTTCCTTTATTTAAAGAAGTTAAAGTGAATTATATTAATTAAACACATTTAATTTCAACAGTCTTGCCAAAGTGGGCAAGATTTGACCGTGGGGGAAGGGGAAGCAAAAAGTCATCCTTCGAATAATTGTAACCAGTGAGAAGGTCATCAAATCAGTCAATCAGCCATAAAAATTAGTTAGTGCTGTGTTTGGATTG